AAGAGGGGGCCCCGTGAAGATGTGGGGGGGGGGGGGGTCCGTCCCAGTGTTGTGTTGGGCGGATTTACAAGGCTGAACTCCTCGCCCAAGGGACCCGTCGCTAGACGTCGATGATAATTTATGTTTGGGTGGTTTTTGGGCACAGCAGTAGCGGGTTCTAAGGAGAGTCCATGTAATTCACGAAATACAGGTTGTATGAGCTTTATTGTGAGTCACGGCGACAACTGTATCATAAATTACACCGAGGTTTGCCTGCGTTGTTGTGTGACCACGGTCCGAGAGATGGTGCTAATTTTAACGTGTCTAGTAAATATAGTAGGCAAAGAGTACCGTCAGGTGCAGAGGGTTATGACGTGCAGTGGAGCGGTGTTTTCCGCTCTCAGCACCCACCTCTTCACGGTTGCTATGATGGGCTCCCTTTTATCACAGTAGGATTGGGTGTAGTCTAAGGGATTCGACGGCCATGGCGACGGTAGGGGGTGCCGCGCGAGCGCGGGTGGGTGCGAGGGGGGCCTTCCAGATGAAGGCTAGTTTCATGATACCGTGCGACACGATCACACGTAGGTGGACAGGTTGTTTCGTATGGGCATCGGGAAGAGAGTCTGATTGCGTGACGGAAGCAGCAAAAGCCCCCCTCTCACCGTTACTTGTCAGTTGCACGTCTAGATAGAGGTCATAATGTCATACTAAAGCGTGCAGCATTGTCTACTGCCTGTGGTACTTTTTCTGGGTGTTATTTCAATGAACTTGTATGGTGTGGTTGGTTGAGTGTTTAATTGGGGCATATGTATCTCTCGGGTTGCTTTTGTTTTGTACCTGAAGTGGATCGGTGGGAATCGGTTTCACTTCGCCCTTTGTTTGAAATTAGGCAAAAATAGGAGGGGGCTAACAACGGGATAGATGACAGGTGTTTGTTTGTAACTTCCAAATGCAACATGTTATGCTACGCTGATGTGACCAGCCAGATTCTCATGAGATGGGTAGCTTCGCCATCGCATTTAAACCCCGCTTATTGGAACCCGCTATTTGGTGCCACTCAACAATAATTTCGTTTCGCTTTTTTGTCTTGGTTCCAACGAAGAATGAACGAAGACGACGTTGTTACTATATTAATTCTCGATGACGATGATTTTGTGGAGTCCAGAGAGAGAGAGAGAGAGAGAGAGATAGATAGAGAGAGAGACCGTTGAGAGTCCATCTCCGGGTGCCACCAACGAACGACTTGTACCGCATCCCGCCGAAGAGCTCAAGGTGGTTCCTCATTGATGTCGTAACATGTGCACACGGTAGGTGACACAAGATACCACACCCCCTAGACCGATTTTCAACGCTCAACAATACTCAAAGAAGAGGATGACAACTCATATTGATGCGCTTTCGGGAAGATCTCCACGGAATGGTTCCAACGCCGCCATTTTCGGCGCTGCCACTCTTTCGTGTGGAGTAATCAAGCTTTGAAAAACGGTCCAGGGAGTGTGGTGTCTTGTGTCACCCACGGTATGCCAGAACGAGAGAAGACCCCCACCCGCCACCTCACCAAGCACAGTTTTTTTTCTGATAGGGGGGTACTATTCCAGCTGCAGAACCCCCTCCTCAGGAGGGCCGGCTGTCAGCGACAAAGGCAGGGTTGGGACGGCAGCGCCACACGATAGTTGGCTACACCGACAACCGAGACAAGCACACACTACAGAGAGAAAGCAAGAGAGGGAGAGGGAGAGGCAGATAGAGATAGGCGGTATAGGAGGCCAAACATGGTATCAAGTCTTTGGATCTACATCTAAAAACCAAACCAACCCGGAAAATACCAGCGCTGCTGCTGCTGCTCTGCTCTTTGGAGGAGGGATTGCACACAGCAGTTGGTTGGCGCGGTACCAAACTGGCAGCACCTCGACCGGTAGCGTAGCGTGTTGCCCTCGTTTTCCCTCCAGGGCGAGCCGCTGCTATCGAGCACCTGGATTCGCTGCAGCTGCTCAGAGGCCAGGCGTTACCCTTCGTGTGCTGTGATACACGACGGCGCGAAACACAGCAACAGCAACGGCCTCGTCGAGGGACATCAGTGAGAGGGTTGGGGAGTGCTGAGGTGCCTCTGCTACTACCCATGGGAAATCAGGTGAGCAGGGCTATCCTGCAGTGGGTTCGTTCCCCATCCCGTACAGCAGTCGCGATCCAGAAGCTACCGTAGCTGCAATCAAGCTCGTTCTGTCGTTGTTTTGGCGGTGAGTATTGTAGGCAGTGGGAGATGGGATATATCCTACACCTGCAGCGGTTGATGGGACGCGATGCTCTGGTCTGGACATTATGGTAGGTCGTGGGAGGCAACAAGAAGGACGGACACAAGAGTCTGCTACTCCTTTTCTCACGGATGGCTGCTCTCGAATAGGATTTGACATACAAAACAGAGTGCTACACGTATACAGCTGCGTGCACGACTATTATACTACTGCTGTGTTTTAGCACGTGTCCAAAGAAACAGTTCGTGCGTTCATGCGCGATTGTTATCTCTCACGCCGTTCTTCCCTGGTATTATTTGCTGGGTGCCGTTGCCGCAGCAGTTTTTGTTCCTGCTGGATGATGCATGATGATGCACAGCTCGGACCCGGGGCTCGCTCCAACCTCCAACCCCCTCGCTCCAGCCCCTTGCAGCAGTTTACTTTACACGGTTTTGTCTCAGCAATGTGGTGAATGTTCGATGGAAAATGTTAATTTATGCATTAATTTCAAGAACGGTTCCCTCCTGCAGTGACGTCCTTTCGACAAACAAACCTGCATATTTACATATTTACCCGATCTCCAGGAACACGAGCCCAACCACGGGAAAAAAAACTCTTGTTTCGGTTCACGCAACCTCGCTCCGTATTTGATCGGTGGGGAAACCAGCCGGCTTTTTTTGTGGGTAGGGTTCAAGTTGTTACGTCTCGAGAAATCGGATCGTCAATTTCTCAAAGAAATCGGATCCTCAATTTCTCAACTCACCTTGTTTACGTGTGCACATACATGTACGCGTATGCATGTATCCATGAAAGGGTGGCGCGTTCGCACGCATCATCCCCCTTACCTTCGATCCGTTTTCGCGACCAACCGTCTACTTCCTCTTGTTTTCATGGACATGTGGGATCCCCTCGGGTATTCTGGCGGCGTCCTGTCGGCATTCGTTCTCACTTTGTGCATGCTCCTTGAAAAGTACCACCTGCTACGCGGGGTCGGACGCCAAGCATTTTTGTACCCAGGATGACGCCTGCAGAGCCAAACCACAGTAGGAGAATAGCAGCAGCAACCCTTCAAGGCTTAGTTGTGCCCTTCCCGCCTTTGTTTGTGCTGTTTTTTTGCCTGCGGCTCCTCTGGGAAGCAGAGAGACTGGGAAACAGAACTAGTAATTGCGTGCCTTGCCTGCGCACGAAGGGTGTGTGTGGACCAATGCTCCTCACTGCGTCAGAGTGAGCCTATATCGCTCTTGCCTGTAAACCATGATGCGGTACATGTAGCCATCAATACTGCTTGGTTTGTACGGAATGCTCGGCTTGTGTTATACAACAGATCATATTTAGTGTGCTGTCCGAAAGGTAGAGCGTATGATTGATAACATTGGTTCCGTCGATGGAAGCCAACCCCCCTCCCCCCCCCATCTTCTTTTAGTCACGGCAGCATTTGTTCCATTCATGGAAGCGACCCTCCCCCCCCCCCATGTTTACCCACCCTCTTTTGGTCACAGGCGTCGGACGACGCCGCACACCAACCAGAAGACGCCCCGCCCGCTGAAGATTTGATTCCAGCCGGCGAGTCGCCTGACCGTAGCAGTTACCACATGCGCTCCGGCGACCGAGCGTGCGCGGCGGAAGCTTCGCCCGGAGGCGTCGGTAGTGGCGGCGGGGGCATCGCGACGGGTAACCCGGTGCACGCGGCCTCGAACAGCCTCGCTGGTTCCGCGTTCCCCTATGCAGCCACGACCGCCAGCGACGATCGGATAGGGAACGCGGGCGGGGGTTGCCAAGATGCTGGTAGGGGGGGGGGCTCTCAGAGTCAAGGGTGGCTGTCGGCGGACGTGCGGCGGCACTCCGGTGGTCAAAGCACCGGGCCCACCTCCACCGCCGCTACCGCCACTACGCCAACAGAGGCCGCGAGCGCCAACGGGTGCACTCGCGCCGACGATGACACGAGGCGAGATAGCGGAGACGCGCAGCAGCAGCAGCAGCAGCGGCCACGGGGCGGCGAGGTAACGGGATGGATGCCGCTAGGGGGCCCGGCCATTCGCGCCGGCGGGGAGGGTACCGCCGGGCCGCGGTGGGCCTCGGGCGCCGCCGCTGCGGCGGTGGGGGGGCGTACGGTCGCTCAGCACGGCTCTCGGGTCTTTGCCGATCGCCAGTTTGGCGCGGCTCGAGAGAGACAAA